TATATATATATACAATCAATCACTTCCCACTAGATGTTTGGTCTCGGCTAACAGCCTATTTTGTGTGAACATGGCAAAAACCATGTTCATCCCAAGCCCAAAATTCATCCCTAGTGGCAATTAAGACAAATATATATATTTTTTTCATTTTAGACAGTATAGAGAAGGGTTAGAACCTTTGATAAGTTTAAATTACTACCTGCTACCTTAGGGTGGAGGATATTCTATCAGGGCCACAGGCAGTAGTAAAAACCCAACATGAAAAGTTCCAGGTAAAGTTTCATATAAAAAAAAAAAAAATCAACCCTCTTTTAAAGCATGTAACTTTAGTATGGTAATACCAATACTTCACTCATGTTTATGTAGTGACACTACTTCCTATAACTACATACTGTATAATTAGTCATTCATTGAAAGATTTGTATAACATGCAACTCATTTTGAGTCTCTCTGATAACCAAGGTAATTAAGGCTATGCAGCCCCCAAACACGTATCGTTAATATCACAATTCTAAAATAGATGTGCCTAATGATGCAAGCGTAATATACGGAACATTAAAATAACTGCAAAAACTTAATATTGTATTCTTCTATATTCTAGGCTCTATGGGAGGCCTGCCAAAGAAGAACAGGAGAGCACAAGACTTTGATGCAAATGATTCTATGTAATAAAAGCCACCAACAATTATGGATGGGTAAATATTATTTTTGCAATAATTTGCTGCTTAAACTTACAAAAGAGTGCTAAAAATAGTAACACCAGTGACAAACACAATGTGAAGCCTAGATAGTTATACTCTATAAATTTAGTGCAAAAGTGTAATTTCTTGGCCCACTTTGGTTACACTTTACCATCCAGAAGTAATCAAAAGCTTTGTGACCAGACCAGATTTTGATGTTTTGGAATGTACCAGTTTTAATAACAAAGATTTTAACTGTTTCGAATTGCAAAATTATGTTCACGCCATTTGTTTTTACTTAATTGGTGGCCCTAATTTGTTTGTTTGTTTTTAAATACTCTGAATATATTTTTTTCAAATAGGCAAAGAAATAAACAAAAATGAATACTATTTCAAATATTTTCACTATATTATTTTCTCCAACTTATTCTGAATCCAAAAAAAGAATGTCTTAAAAAATTATACATTGTGTTGATGTAAGGGCTAGGGCAAATCAATCACAGTACTGTATATATCAAAACTCAAACTCATTTCAGTGGGGGCCCACTGGACAAATTTTCTTCTCCCATGAGGGCCAAATTTCATAAAATCTCATACTTACAAATAAAATGTAACTATATACGATACCAGTGCTAATGTCTGCGTGTGTTTATAATGTCAGTGTTTGTGATGGTTTCTTTGTATGCAATGTCAGTATATTTTTTGTGATGGTTTGTGGGTGTGTATTGTCAGGATTTCTGTGAGTGATGTTGATATGTGTGTTAATGCTGTGTGCATATATGCATGTGTATCCAGGGAGCGTGACTCATTTCTAACTGCATGTAATCATATCACATACGATTACATACGGTGTGCCGATGTTTAAATGCAGTGCCTGTCACCTGTTCATTAACTTGAACTGGTGACAGCTGCAGCTTGTAAATGCCAGATTAGGGATTCCTACTGCAGGAAAATGCAAATTTCTTAGACAGGAATCCCTAATCACACCTAAACTTACACAATGGGGCCTAATGCACACAAATACATCCCCCCCAATCCACTCTCACACACACACACTAATGCAGAATAATGCACCTTCCCCCTTGTTTCCCCCCTGCATATAAAATAAAAGAGAGCCCCGTCACCTGCATATTTCCTGGTGGTTCAGCTTTGGCTGGTCCACACCTTACTAATCCTTCCACTGTCATAACTCCAGCCAAAAAGAACTACTGAGTGCCAGCACCACCAGGAGCACCTATGCGGTCTGATGCAGACCGTGTAGATCAGTGGTTCTCAACCTTTCTAGGGTCGGGACCCCTTGGTAACATTTGCCAAGTTGTGGTGACCCCCAACGGTACATCACTAGAAGAGGACGTGATGGAGAACTGCATGTCCCCCTCTGCTGATTGGCAGCAGCAGAGGGCGGGTGCAATATCTAGTTTGCTATTGGCTATTGCAAAGTGAATTAGCCAATAGGAATCTAGCTATGCATTCCTATGGTGGGTTTTTTTTGACTTACGTTGGCCAGCGGGGAAAGGTTTACTCTGCTTTACACTTTCCGGGAGAAAGTGTTTCTTTCCCAGGCGGCCAGGTGCCGCTATCTAATAGTGGGAGACTCCCGGGCGACCCCTGGCAAATCGTGATTCGACCCCCGAGGGGGTCGCGACCCACAGGTTGAGAACCGCTGGTGTAGATGTTTCCCCAAGTCAGGTTGACTTGTCAGCCGGATGCGGGCTGCAAGGTACCGGTTTGGCGGGCCAATTCCAGCCCGCGGGCTGGTATTCTTTGGCCCCTGCTTTAGGTATATACTCACACACCTCAAAAAGGATATGAATATATTGCAATAGTACAGTAACATTCATCCTAGGTACAGGAACCACAAATATGCATAGGTTTTAATACAAATGTTAGTGCTATATGGTCAATTAACGGACATGTATATTTTAGATTTCCAATACCACTACCGTAATAACACTAATTCATTAATTAATATGCCCTAAACAGAAAACCCTTCTATTAACTAATTAACGGTCCCTTGTCTGTGATCCCCATGATTGGTTATTCATAGTGATCACAGTGATAGTGATCAGTATCCACTCAGAGAGGTTACCAATCAAGCCACTGGGTTTCCCAATGGTACTCTACAGTTTACTCCCCGAGAGTAAAGGAATCTCTGGAGTGTGTTACAACTGCAAAGACAAAACTTTAAATTAATACTGGGCAGGAGGACATTCTTTTACATTGGAACAGGAAGGCGATAGATAGTATTATACATAATTAAAAAATACATGTAGCATGTAGTGTAAAATGGTTATAAAAAATATTATACATTGAATCTTTTAGAAATAAAAAAATGGTACCTGAGATAAGTATACTTTGTTATAATGGTGTTTTTTTTTAAAGTTTTCCAGGAATTCCAAAATATCTCTGGACAAGACATTGCTGCAGCTATTGAAGAATGTTATGATGGCTACTTCCAGCAGCTCCTTTTGGCCATAGGTAAAAGGCTAAGTGTCATGCTGATATAATACAGTATAAAATAACATGGTAAAATATGGCAATACATAATAAATGCAAAAATCCTACTTCACAAAGCTTAGGGCATAAGGCAAAAAACACCAGGTCTTAAGAAGGCCATACAGCTATAGATTATCTGCAGATTTTCTATGGTCAGATGCAACAGATTCCCCCATCTACGCTAAAATGTGGGCCAGGCTTCAGTATCTTGCTAGTCGGCACCCCGCTGGCTCTGAAAATACCTGAACAATCTGATTGGATGCAGGCATTGTTCAGGTATTCTGAGAGCCAGTGGGCCTCACTAGCAAGATACTGAAGCTTTGCCCAGTGGGAGATCCCTCCATGCACACAGTTTAGCATAGATGGAGGAATCTGTTGCACTTTTTCCATCTGACCATAGAAAATCTGCAGATAATCTTTAGGTGTATGGCCAGCTTTAGGAAGAACACATTACTATAGAAATCCTGACGTGCTGAAATGAACAGAACAGAAAATTACAAGTGACAATCAGCCTTTGTATCTAATTTCTCTGCCATCTCGCCATTATCCACTTGGCTAAAGAATGGGAAATCCTATTATAAAGCAATTTGTGCGTGTGCAGACCACCGCTTAGTCCCAGATTACTGTGAGCCCATTCTACATGATAACGTCCCCCAGGGGGCGGGTCCATGACAGCCTGGGCTCACAGGAAGCGGATTAAATAATGATGACAGTCAATAAACCTGGAAGACTGGCAACATCTAGCTTCAGACAGAAATTACTGTGGGGGGCAGCTCTGGATTGACTGTGAGTACCTCTCTAAAGGGTTTTCTGCATTTTCACAGTTGCTGGGCATATAATTTTTTTAATTGAAAAACAACACAGCGCCCTCAAAATCCTTAGTGACCATCTAGTTCTTCAGTGTGCCATATGTGAATGATAATTATGGAATCATTTTTAAACAAAACATACGTTTCAACCTAACATGCGTTGTGCAATATTCTTCTATGCAATTCTCCCTATAAAATGCAATCCTCTAAAAATACTTCTGTGATTCTTCCATATATCATATGCAAGTGATAAAATAATATAAGTGTATAAAATGCATTATAAAACATGCATTTGTTCAATAATATTTTGTGCAATCCTTCCTCCTAAAGTGCAATCATACAACTAGTATTGTGGTTCTTCAATGCAATTTAAACAACAATAAGTTACACAATATTAAATATTGCATGCATCCAACTTAACATGCGTGATACATCATATTGATAATAGTATAATCCCTGGAGTCCTCTTGATGTGCAAAATTTCTTCCAACTTTACAGCCACACCACCTCCGTGTATTTCACAGGTAATAAAGTGATCCGTGCTTCCCACTGTGTGATAAAATCTCTATCCACACTCATTGACTCCTATTCTTCACCGTATTACAGATGAACAATTCAAGCTTTCAAAAACATTCCTCTCTTTCCTTGTTCCACTCTCGTATACAGTAATTAATCCCGAGATTCCTTTCCCTCCTTTCACTTTCTGACATTCATCAGTTATAACTCCACTTTTTCTCGTTCCTTCCACCTTCTCCATCTTCCATCTTTTCTTTATTAGTACTCAGAAAGAAGAAGATTTGTGTGTACTCAATTAAGATTCATGGTGTGTTGTAGGGATGCACTGATACCAAGTACCGTACTCGGTACACGTACAAGTACAGATACTTTGAGCTCCAAGACTAGACTAGAGAAAAACTCAAACGTTAGGAGGCAGCTGTCATTTGTAAGGAGCATACGGAGCTCCTGGGATGCACCGATACCATTTTTGCCAGTACAAGTACTGGTACTTGTCCAAGCAGTCACTGATACAAGTACTGATACATTTTTGTTTATTGTCATGTGACAGTTTTTCTAAAACATTACAGACTAATGATTTCAGGACAATGGAGGAGCACCAGAGCCAGGTTCCAGCTGCAACCCTGGTAGTTCTCATGAAAATGCCAAGAATCGGCACTGGTATCTGAAAAGTATCTGTGCATCCCTAGTGTGTTGTCACTAATTTAGCACAGCTGCTTTAGAGTGAGATCTGATTCCTAGCACGATGTATTACTACTTGTCATATCATTTTTTTAAACTGGAGTTTCAATTTAACAAATGAACTATCCTGAATGTTCTCACTTGAGCCACTTGTACGCATCTAGAAATATAAACACATAAATATGCACGTGCACTTTAATGCTGTATATATACACTGTAGGTGTGAATGCATCCACAGCTATGTGACTCGCACATTGAAATGACTTTCAGACTAATATTGTGTAGCCATATCTAGAAAATTCTGTTACATAAATGCAGTTTCCTTTTGAGATGATATTTATTATTCTGCAAGTTGCTTGAGGGTGAATGTATTATTGTGTGAAGGACATTGTACATAAATGCCGCTGCCTCTGTTCTACAGCAACTTCATAATCCTTTCAGCTGCTTATTGTCCACAGGACTATGAGAATTATCTTCCTGCCCTATCCTATATATATATATATA